CATATTTCTTTTTTTCCCCCATAATTTTATTGATAAACAAATAGCAATGAGACAGTTTCAAATCAAATTGATAGGACAGTTTCAGTAATTAACATATTGCATACATTCTTCCTAGTGGTTAATTGCTGTACAAGATGCGGACATGATATCCTATTTACAAACACCATTAGAACAAATCACTCTATTCATTAAGAGAATGTAACTATATATCTATCCTAAGTGCTTTGAATACACAGATACAAAATGGACATTCATCTATATCCCCTTTTTTTGTTAAGTTCCGTTATTTGAATATTATAGGTGTGTAAACTCAGCAAAATATTCTAAAAGAGTCCAGTAGCCCATAATATTATTGGGTCTTCCACTTGACTGGCAATGTCAGAAATTGTTGACCCGAGTCCCCTACAGCTCAACATAACAGCATGGCTTTACTTCTTATACTTCATTTTTATACTTTTCTGCTGGATGGTTAAGACCAAGGTAAAGCAGGACCTATGCAACAAGAGTTGTAGCTTTTGGGTCTGATAAGGTCAGTGAAATCCCCTCAGGATTTATCATGCCAACATTTAAAAAAAATTTTTTTTGAAGGAGCCATGGAGATAGCTCAGTAGAATAAGCACTTGCCTGGCAAGTGCCAGGGCCTGAGTTCTATCCCTGGTTCTGCCAGGGGGGGGGAAATCTTTTTGATAATGGTCATTTTGACTGGATCAGACGATATCTCATACTGGATTTAATTTGTAGGTGCTACTTGCTAATATTGAGAATTTTTTCTATTTCTTGCTCTTCCTACTTTTCTCAAGAAACATCTATTTGTATCATTTGCTCTTTATTCCCCTCTTAAATTGTGTGGGATTTTTGTTGTAGTTTTTGAATTCCATATACATTCAGCATATTAGTCATTGGTCAGATTAACAGCTTGCAAGTATTTTCTCCCACTTTATATTGTGTATTCTGTTGTTTGTTTTGCTATATAGAGATTCTTAGTTCAAAATAATTCCATTTATCTCTTTGTTTTTGTTTTTTGTGATTTGGGGAGTCTTCTGAACAATAATCATTACCTATATTGATGTTTTGACATGTTGATATTTTCTTCATTGTTTAGCTCTTATATTTAGGGCTTGGATCCATTTTGAAGTGATTTTCTTTTTTTAAATCTCTTTATTTGGTACAGGGTCTCGCTATATAGCTCAGACTCATAGTGATCTTCCTGTCTCAGTTACCCAGGGCTAGAATTATAGGCATGCACTACCCTGCCTAGTTTCAGTGGCTGGCAGGGCATGTCTGGGGTTCTGGGGCCAGCACAGCATGCGGTGCTGGGGACTGAACCTGGGTCTTTGTGCTTGCCAGGCACTGTCTCCCCAGCCTGAGGTGATTTTCTTTTTTTTTTGGTCACCAGCTCACCAGCTCAGCCTGTCCTGGGGGGCTGGGTTGGTATGGCACGTGGTGCCAGGATTGAACCACGGTCCCCGCGCTTTTGCCTAACCTTGCCTAAGCAGGTGCTTTAGACAGCTGAGCTATCTCGCTGGTCCTGATTTTCTTTTTAATATGGTGAAGTTAGGGCTCAAGTTTCAACATAGAGATCTAGTTTGCCCAGCATTAGAAAAGACTGCCCTCTCTCCAATGTATGATTTTGGCACCTTTGTCAAAAATCAGTTAACTGGCTATAGATACGTGGTTTTATTTCTGGGCATCTATTCTGTTTAGTACCATGCTGTTTTGGTACTAGCTCTATGGTATGTACTGAAACTTGATATCATGGTGTCTCCAGCTTTATTGTTCTCATTCAGGGTGGCTTTGACGGTTCAGGTTTTTGTTTGCATTGCTCTGGATTTTGACGCTAGAGCCTATGTACTCTAGAAAAGTACTCTCATTACTGAGCTCTATTCTCAGCCTGTATTTGGATCTTTTGGGCTTCTATATGAGTTTTATGATAGCGTTTTTATTTTTTTGACATTAGTTTCTGTCATCGGTGTTTTGTAAATTTTCATTGCAGAAGTCTTTCACTTCCTTAGTTAAACGTATTTTATTTTCTGTAGCAGTTTTGAGTGGGGTTGCTTTTATGATTTCTCTCTCAGCAAGTTTGTAATTGGTGTAAAAAAAATGCTGTTAGTATTTGCATATTGATTTTATATCTTGGAGCCTTAAAAGAATTTATCAGGTCAGTGGTCCTTGGGTGGGGTTATTTTTATGGGGGATTCAGTTTTTAGGTTGTATGGTAATCACTTTTCATATGGATACTGAAATCCTTGGGGATGATGGCAGAACATGGGCTCACAAGACTGAACCAGTTTCCAGAGACAGTCAGTGAATGTGGTAGGTTTGCACAAGACCTTGGTAGATGACAGTGGGGATGAAGACAAAGTGCTGGAGCTACCTGGTATTTGCTCCATAGGATATCGGCTTCTCATGAAAGAGTCCAAGATACAGGGAGCTTAGTTGTATTAGGCATTCCAGTGATGTAGTAGAGTCAGGAGGATAAACAAGGAGAATAAAATCAGAGGGAAGAAACATCACTGTTACAGGGAATTGGGATGAGGGGAAAAAAA